GGGAGCCGGCGGAGGTGGCGCCTGGCCCGCACACTTCCTCCTCCGGCCGGGGGTGGGCACAGGCCTGGCCTCCCTGAAGCGAGGACCGCCCCTGCCCTCTGCCCAAGGTTGGAGCCTCCGGGGCTCCGCGACGGAGCACCGCGGGGGCTGTCAGCCAGCACGGCCAAAGCCTACGCAGGGAGCATCGTCCCCTGTTTCTGGCGGAAACGAAAGGCCGGAAAACGACCTCTTCGCTCCTTAGGCTGTGCTGATGTAAATAAAGGCACGTAGGTGGGCGGAGTGGAAGGATAATGAAGGTGAACTGAATGCAGCTTAGTGATGCAGAGGCGCCCTGGGGTCAGAGTTCGCTACCTTTGAGTTCTACGTCCCCGCTGCTGGGAGCGGGGCAGTTCAGGCTGGGTTGAGCAGGGTGGTTTAAAATTGAAATAAAGAAGCATTTGGTTTGAAACTCAGTCTTTGGAGCTCATTTTCCCCCCGCTGGGTACCTAACCTCGCTTCCTTGCACGTGGGGCCGTGGTCCACTCTGCTGGGACTGGCTGCCTGCCTGCCTGCTCGGAGGTGGGTAGCATCCTCGCTTACGCATCAGGTTCACCCTGGGCAGCTACCTACTTTGATCTAGAGTAGCCTTAGGGGCACGACCTTAAGGGCATCTAATGGCTGATTGCGACAAGAGAGAGCAAGGTTGTAAGGCTGTTGTGATCCAAATATTATACAAAATATTTTCGGGACCAAGAAAAACCGGCACCCAAGAGAAGACAGGGGTAGATAGGAGAGGATGGAGGTGGAAATCTCTGAAACAAGTTGTAGAATGAAATAAAATCACACAACGCGAGAGCTGTGAGTTAAGTTTTATTTGTTGCGAAATAAGGAGTGCAGCCTAGGAGACAGCATTTCAGGCAGCTCTGAGTAACTGCTCCAAAGTGGGGGAGGTGAGAGTCAGTATTATACATGATTTTAGTGAAGGGGGTTCCATGCAGTCAAGCACACATTTAGGCAGACGCTTGCTGCTGGTCAGGAGGAGCAAAGGTCAGCATAAATGAATTCAGAGCTTTTCTAGATATGAGGATATCAAGAATTAGGCCTCATAAAATCTCCTGAAAATACCTAGCTATCTGAAGGGCTGTTCTGTAAGCTTTCCCTAGAACATAGATTGCCTGATTCCTGATCTCCACCCTGAACTCCTTTCAGGGAGTGTCAAAGGTGAGCAGCTGCAGCGGCTCGTGATTTAATCCAAGCAGAGAGAGATGACGAGGGATTTTTAGTTGACAAGGTGGATAAGCGATGCCGGGAGAGGAGGGTTTGATAGAGGAGTAGTTATGGAGAACTCCCGGAAAGAACAAAGCACTGAGCCTGCAGAAGGAAACAGTAAAGGCAGTGAGAAGGCTGCCCCAGTTCTGCCCAGGGGCTGTGTTCCCTACCAGTTTCTCTCTTTTCTCCAGGCAGAGGTACCCATTCTTGACTCTGGTTCTTTCGTCTACACTTGATCCTTCTTACAAAGGGGCTGTCCCTTACAAAGAGGGACACCTCTTCTGGCAGCGGGTCCCTAAGCTATAGGAAAAGTGTTAAGGAAAATGAAACACTGAGCAAAGCTCTCTGTGTTTTTATTTTGTTTACTGTATAGTTTGCCCACAGCCACCTGCTGAGCCTCTTCGTTGTAGAGAAAAATATGTCTCAGACTTTTCTCCAACTGATTTTTTTTCAGATCGTCTATATATGCTGACACAGAAAGATGTCCGTGAAATATTAAGTGAAAAAATAATAATAAAACAAGTTGCAGAACAGAGTATAAAATGTAATGCCCTCTTTGGGAGAAGTTTTCTTTTTTCCTCTACAGGGAGACTAATATCCAGAAAGAAAAGTACTGACCAACTTTGTGGTGTGGGAATGGAGAAGAAAAACTTCCATTTTTATGTTATTCACTTCTATGTTGTTTAATTACTTTAAGACTTAAGAAAATATATATTTCTGTAGTACCTTTCAGTGTTTATCTCCGGGGCTTTCATTACCTTCTCTCTAAAGGATTGAGACTGAGCTATAAGGTCAATTATGGCTATAAAAGTACAGGATTTCTGTATATCTGACTCTGCTCATCTCTGCGGGCAAAACAAGGACTACGACATACAACTGCTGCCCTGGAGAAGTGGAGTGGGGGCGGGGCGGCAGTGAGTGCCCCCAGCAACAGCAAACAGCGCTCCAAGTCAGGGAAGGTTCTGATGGGCTCAGGAGGCAGTGTGGAGACCCCTGCTTGGGGCACAGGGTGGCTCACAGAGACCAGAGTAAGGGAATGTTGATGGGTGGCATGGAGCAAGCCTCTGTAGCCCTTG